CAGTGGGTCATTTATTTACCACTTATTAATGTCTAGCAATGTAATGAACACTTTACAAGTATTACCTCACTTAATCATCACACTCCCTATGAGATAGGTCCTCATGTAAAGGGTGAGAAAATTGAGGCATAGAGAGAATAAGTCACTCAAACAGGTTTACAAAAGTGGTAAGTGAGAGAGCCAGTATTTGCACCTAGGAAGTATCACTCAGAATTAACTTTGAAAGGTAAAGTAGTAGTAAACCACGTAAATGGATCAGGTTTTGTCTCAGAGAAATAAAAACATTGTTGTTAGGTGTTGTCGAGTTGCCGCTGACTCATAGCAACCGTATGTACAACAGAATGAAACATACATGGTGATATATTCACCTCAAACTCACTGTTGTCGAGTTGGAATCCCTCCTTGGGTTTTCGAGGCAGTATCACTACAGAAGTAGACTGCCCAATCTTCCTTCCGAGGAGTGGCTGGTGGGTTTGAACCACCAGCCTTCTGGTTAGCAGTCAAATGCTAACTATGCCACCAGAACTCCTAGTATATTCATAGGGGTGTGCATATATATGTATACATATGTAACTGTAAGCCACTGCCTCAATTAAAAAAAAAAAAAAAGAAAATCAACCAAAAACCTGGAAATAGGTATATATTAAGTTAAAACATTTTTATTGTGATTTCATTTCATGAATTGCTAAGAGTCACCCATGTACTGCTATATGAATTCTCTGCCATTACCTTTTGAGAAAGAAAACTGAAGGTTGTTTATTGCACTTCTGATATCACCAGAACATCCTTGACACAGCAACTCTAGAGAAGCTTTATCTGGAACAATAATTTTTCCTCCATACTACAATGAAAAAAATAAAATTTAAAGAACTATCTTAAAAAACATAATGGAACTAAAGTAGAATATTTCACACCCGAATGCTAAAAAAGCTTCCTGCTAAACACCCACCTAACTATGAAGGCTAAAACTATCAATGCCTTTTCATAGTTGAAGGCAAAATTTCAAAAGTATAAAATACTGTTTTACTTTCAGCAACTGGGATCTTAAAAGCTTCCAAGTGGCCGTCTAAATGCAACAATGGGTCTCTTCTTGTCCAGAACAAGTAAGAATGAAGAAAACCAAAGATGCATGGAAACAATTAATCCAAAGGACTGGTAGACCATGTGATCCTCAGCCTATATGACCAAGAGACCAGAACTAGATGGTGCCCAGCTACAACTGTCAATCACTTGGAGGGGGATTGGTGTAGGAAATCCTGGATAGAGTGGGAGAAAAATGTGGAACAAAACTCAAAATCATAAAAAAAAAGACCAGGTTTGCTGGTCTGATAGAGCCTGGTGAAACCCCTGAGACTATGGGCCCTAGCCACCCTTCAGGTCTGGAACTGAACTCACTGCAGTGGCATTCAGCCAAACAACAGGCATATGTGGTGAACATTTACATCAGGCAGATACAATCCTTGGCGTGATCAATCATGGGAGAATAGAAGGGCAGTGTTTGCCCAGAGAGACAGCTCAGGGGGCAGGAGTGCATGGGAGGGGGAAGGACAAAGGGAACAGGTAACTACAGGGAGGAAGGGGGAAGAGAGCCATTACACTGTGGGGAATAGCAGTCAATGTCATAAGTCAAAATGTGTATGAACTGCTGTATGGAAAATGAATTTACTCTGTAAACTTTTACCCAATCACATACATATATAGTTTTACTTTAACCAGTTCTCTCTTCCTCACTCTTCTCCCTATATACACACATATCTAGAAACCTATCCACACATGTACAAATACCTCAAAACAAAAATTAATGCAGTAAAATTAGATATACAAAATAATCTGTTTAAATATAAAGACACATAATAATGTGACAAATCTTTAAAATTTTTACATGGAAGTCCCTATGCTGAGATTTTCAACATATTATAGTTGGCTGAGTACTAAAAAGTCATAACTGCACCAATTTCATAGTTAAAGTCTAAGCTGCACACAACTGTTTAAGATATAATTTACCAGAACATATATGACTATTCACAGCCTATCCCAATCCAGATCTTGTAAAACTGATTATAATATAAAAATAGTACTATAATCCTCCAATATTTTTAAATTTTAACATAATAGTCACAAGATTCTTCAAAACTGCTTTATGACAGTTATTATCCTTTAGTAGTCCCCTCAAATGCCATACTTCATCAGAGACAATAACTATTAACATTTTAGTGAGTACCTTTCCAGATCTCCTTCTGCACATGTATAAGTATATACAAAGTATACACAGTGTATAAAGTGGGATCATAATATATATTATTACTGTATAATTTTTTTTAACTTAATTCCATTCTTAGTGATCTTTCCGCTAGTATTTTTAGATATACTTCATTAAAAAAAAAAGTTGATACACCACAATTTAATGAATAGTTACCCCAAAAAAGGAACATCTACATAGTTTACAGTTTCCAATTTTCACCATTACAGAGAAATATATACATACTTATTTGCCTGTATAAAATAACATTTCATATTTACATATAACTTTGCCAGCATATCTGAATATTTCTGCAGAAGTACAGTGGCTCCCAAAGTGTCTGCAACAATTACTATTTTTCCTACTAACAGTATAAAGACTTGCCTTTAGAAATCCTGCATACCCATCTTTAAAACTTTTTTCAATCTGGTAGGTGAAAAATGGTATCTATGTAAACATGCATGTCTCTGATTATTAGTAGGGCTGAACACCTTTCACATTTACTAGCAATTTGGATTTCTTTGTGCATTGGCTTTTGATCTTTGTCTTTTCTATTGTTAATGTTTTATCTGTTACATAAATTGCAGAAATTTTCTCCCTTTCTCATGTTTGTCTTTTAACTTTGTCTACAGTGCCTTCTGCCATCCCTAAGTTTTTCATTTTTGAAGTAAATCCATCAATTGTTTTCTTATGGCTTCAGGTTTTGATTCTTGCTTAAGAAGAGTTTTCCTATCCCAAAATCAGTATTTTTTAACACTCTTAAAACTTTGATTTTATATTTCAGCCTTTTTTTTTTTTACAATAGCATGAGGTAAACACGTAACCATTTATTTTTCCATACAGATGTTCAACTGTTCTAACATGCTATCAATAAAAAGTCTACTCTTCTCCCAGTGATAAGTATACAACGCCATCATACTGAAAATTCCCATTTACACAGAGTGATCTACTTCTTGCTTTCTACTTAATTCATTCTTCTGTTTGTCTGTTACTATGAAAACACCACAATGTTAAGATACCTATAGTTTATAATATATTCTGATATCTAGATACCAAGTCTCTCTTGTTATTCTTTTACAAAATTTTGTTAATTCCTGTGAGTTTCTCTTCCAGATTTACTGCATTTCGATTGTAAATATATTTGATTTAAAAATGGTTTTAAGAGGAATGCTTATTTTTATAGTCTTTTTTTAAAAATTTTTAGATATGGATTATTCACCAAAAAAGGAAATGTAATTTGAGCAATGGGAAGCCCCTGGAGAGGGTTCTTCTCTGGCAGATCAGGTGATGTGCCAGCACCACGGCACCCAACCCAGGCTCCGTGGGCTCAGGCTGCCTGCAGAAGTGGGGGCAACCACAGCAGAGCCAGGAGCAGCAGCAGTAAAGAGGGGTCTGTGTCAGGTGAACAGTAGTCCATTAGCCTCTGGATCAAGTGGAAATGCTCACTGATGTTGGTGTAGATGTCAGGCCAGTTCAGCTAACCACAGCCCATACCCCAGCTTATAACTCTGATCTGATACCACATATTATTCACTTTGCATACTAAGAGTCTGGCCTGAATCACCCTGGGAGCCTGGGTGGGGGTACATGGAGCAGTTCAGTTCAGGGGAAAGACCTGCGAGCAGAGGGTGGTGCAGCTGGGCAACCAGATATAATGACCAGCCTCAGTTTCCTCATCTACAAAGTGGGACAACGGTCCATACCTCTCCAGGCTGGAATGAAGTACAATTCATGAGAGACCAGGGACAGGTGGTACACAACTGGGTCAAAAAGGGCCAAATTGTTTTCTAGTAATAAATTCCGGGATGGGGGTAAAGCTGGGAAGTGGGTAAGATATGGGCCCCAGACACCCTGCTGGGGATGGGGGGACTCTCAAAAAGCAGGCATCTTTGTCCCTTTCTGGACTGCCACCATAAACCATGTCCCCCAGATGTTATGGTGGATATCAATCCTTCCTGGGGCTGTCATAAGAAGTAAATGAGGTACAATCATGGTGAATGGGGGGAAGGGGCCTGAAGGACTGCAGGGTTGAGATGGAGGACTCCCTGAGACTATCACCCTGAGATACTCTTTAAACCTTGAACTGAAACTAGTCCCTGAGGTCACCTTTAAGCTAAACAACAGATTGGCTCACAAAATAAAGACTATTACCTGTAATTACCGTGCTCCTTTTTTAATCATCTATACAAGAACAGTCAACAATTGCTTTAAAACAAAATGAGAACATAAGGGAGCTGGGAAACCAGATTAATGGAAACGGAATAACCAGAACAGGAATAATGAGAACATGGCACCTTGCGAAGAGTATAAGCAATGTCATGGAACCGTTTGTGTAGAATTTGTTGAATGGGAAATTCAACTGCTGTGTAAACCTTCATCAAAAACATAATAAATATTAAAGAAGAAAAAAAAGGCAATGTAATTCAAAGTCACGATCCTTGGTAAGTGAAGAAAATACTATGGCTGTTAGTTACTATGAATAAGCAAACATGGCTGAACAACAGTTTGCTCCACACTTTATCACATTTAGTGCAATCTAAAGACACTATAAGCTTTTCTTTTCTATAAAAACAGAGAAGAATTTGCACAGGGAGACAGCTTTGGGGGCAGGAATGCACAGAACAGAAGGACACAGGGAAGAGGTAACTACAGGGAGGAAGTGGGAAGAGAGCTTTTTACATTGTGGGGATTGCGGTCAATGTCATGAAACAAAATGTATGTCAACTGCTGTATGGTAAAATGAATTTGCTCTGTAAACTTTCACCCTAATTACAATAAAAATTAAAAAAAAAAAAAACAGAAAGCATCTAAACTTTAAAAAAATAATCACTTAAGTTATTCAACACTTACATAATTTATTATGACTAATTCCCTTAAGATGTCACCACTCTTCCTTAACATAATTAACAGGATGCCAGAGATTAAAGTATTCTTAATATCTTCCTACACTATCATTATCACCCCGGGAGACCCAAGGCAACATGATAACATCCTGTGACAGAACATATCAATAATAATATCAAAGGTATAATGTTAATAAGACTTTTTCCACATCAAGTATTTAAGGTACAGCATGTTAATATACAATAAAGAAGTTATGGTACCAGTATCCTAATACAAGTTTAGTCTATGTAATTTTCTGTGCTGGTTCATTTTCTTTACAGATTCTCTTATTTTCCTTTGCAGCTGTTGTTTCAGTGAATACAAGATCTTTATATGATTTTCCTTTTTTATTTTTATGAGTTTTATTAATTTTGAGGTTACCTTGTAATGTTCATAAATTTAAAACAGTTCCTTCTATCTTTAACTCACCTTGACTTCCTCTCTATTTGGAAGCTCTGTAACTATATATTTATTCTCTTTTTGCTTTGTAATCTTTATGGAAGCAGACTGCCTCATCTTTTTCCTCATGAGTTCAAGCCACCGATCCTTTAATTAGCAGCCGAATACTTTAACCACTACCCCACCAGAGCAGTTCTACTCTGTTCTAAAGTGTCACTATGAGTCAGAAACAACTTGACAGCAATGGGTTTGGTTTTTTGCTTTGTAATTGTCCTCATTTACAAACTGATGTCTCTGGTTCCCTATTTTCAGTCTTGCAGGTTTACTTTATTTTGGATACTTCTAGATGTGGATTGGTTTCTGAGTGATGTTGTCTTGTGTATTCTTTTTTTTTTTCCCCCAGTCTATAAAAGAGATGACATTTATAAAGCACCTAACACAGTGTGTACCACACAATGTAATCTTGGGGGGAAAGCAGTTCTTATTCTAAGTTGAAGTTAATTCAGAAAGTAGCATAGGGCATGGCTCTTTGGTGTAGAACATTTTGTCATGTGTATTCTAATATAACTTTTTAAAGTAAATGCCATTTGTACTCTAATGATTTACTCTTAAAAGAAGTTTTAAGTTAATGTGATAATGTAGCATGTATGACTACTTATTATTTTTCTTGACTATTTCTTAAATATTTGTTCAAGAAATAAAATATTTTACAACTATAGTATCAGTAATATAATATTAACATATTAATTCAAAGCATTTTATCCTATTAGGGAGAATAAACACACTCCCTGAATGTTTAGATGATTTGGGAAGTAATCACAAAAAAATGTAGAAAATTAACAAAGAATTTTTAAAAAGACAATAAAAATTCAAAAGTAATCCTACCATCCAGAACTAATCACACTTAGTATGTTTATGTACTTTCTTATAGTATGTGTAGGCTTATGTATATGTATGCGTTTTATTGTTATTGACAATTGTTTGTGTTGTTTTAGCACAGTGGATTGGAGTCAGAACCAAAATGTAATCCATTACTTAATAGTTGTGGGATATTATACAAGTTATTTCCCTCATCCAGCTCAGTTTCTTTACCTCTTAAATGGTGATAATGTAACACACTTATATGATTGCAGTGAGGATTTATATAAGATCATGTATATAAAAATACTTTACACTGTCCATGACACATATTAAGGGCTTAAAACATAATTTCTATTGTTAGTATTATTATATAATTTGGGACCTTATTAATTTAACTTGATATTAAATTGTACTCATTTTCCCATGCCATCATATATTCTTCAAAACATTATGTTAATGGCACAATAGTTCACTATAGTAACTGCTTCCTCAATTATCGAACTTAACTTAATTGTTTCTAATTTTTCACTATTAATAACTGTTAATGAATACTTTACATATATTATCTTGTTCAATTTTCCAAACAACCTCTTCCTTAAAGATTTCCCTCCCTTGTTGTAATCCAAACAGTGCAACAAAAGTTGTTTCATGCAAGATCTAGACATGTAGCAGTAGGGCCCCCTAGAATTATGTTGCTGGAAACAGAAGTTCCATCTATTTATTTTCACAACATCTTTATTTGGAAGATAGAGAAATGAAGTATTAAAAGTGACAAAAGGATAAACTATAGTTGATGAAAGTTTCTTAATGATAGGCACAATTTAGGAATGTAGGACAAGCAAACAGAAAATTTACCTCAGTTTGAAGAAGAAATTAAGTTTAATAGTAGAAAAAAGTTAAGGACTTTTTAATCAGTATTTTCTAAAATGGCATGTTTCATGTATGTAATAAATTAATTCCAAAAATTAAAAGAATATATCTCCAATTCCTCAAGTTAACTTAATACCACTTAAGTTGGACTTTCTACAGCTATAATGCAAGATTCAAATTAATTTGTTCATCAGAGACTTACCTTATTAGCTTCTGTTGTCATTATTCGATTAAGAAATTTCATCATAATTGTTGGTGCCACAGGATTGAAACTGTCAAAGTTTTATAAAAAAAAGATGGTATTTAAATGATTAATTTTAAATATAACCTGTATGTGAACATTATGAAGCAGAAAATGTTTTCTTACCTGATATTTGATATAGAACACTCTTCCTGAATTTCTTTGGGAAATAAAAACCTTTGATTACTATCACCACTGAGACTGTCAGAGATTATAAATATAAGAGGACATCGACCAATCTGGATATACTTCCTAAAATAACAAAATATAATGTTGAAATTTGAGCCACTTGATATTTCATTTGGAGTTTTAGAAAACTTCACTGAAACTTACCTTAGAACTTCATGTAAAATCTGAGAATCTCGGTAAAACTGGTGAGGTAAATCCTATTGAAAACACAGGATAAGTATTAGTTCACTTTTATTCCCATGCAAATTTATATTAAGATATATATTTACAAAGGAAGAACAAAATGTTTACCTATCCTATGTTTTTTATGCAAAACTCTCACAGAAATTAAGAGAAACATGAAATAGATATATGGAACTCCAATTTTCAGATTAATTTTTCTTAGATGCACTTTACCAGCTATATTATCTTCATTGAGAAGTTATTTTCCAAATATTTATTTTGCCTTTCTATATGTAAGCCTCTTTCTTCCCAATTTGAGTCATGCCATACCGGCAAATGAAGGTTCTGAAACTTTACTCCATCCATGTCATTAAGGTTGACTCTACTTTGATGAGGCAACTATCCCCCAGTTGTATTTCCAGTGTCTTCGTACAAGAGGGGCTTATTTTCCCACACAGTAGCAGACAATGTTCCACTGCTATTCATAAGGTTCTCGCTGTCCAATTGTTTTAGAAGTAGATCACTAGCTCATTCTTCCTAATCTGTCTTAGACTGGAAGGTCTGCTGACCTGTCTACAATGGGTGATCCTGCTGGAATTTAAAAGACCAATGGCATAGCTTCTACCATCCAAGCAACACACAAGTTACCACAGTACAACACACTGAAAGATGAGTGGTGTACATAGACCAAGAGGCAGCTGTTCAAACAGAACAAGAAGATACTGTGTGGTTTAAAATCAGAAAATGTGTATATCAGGGTTGTATCCTTTCACCATACTTATTCAATCTATATGCTGAGCAAATAAACTGAGAAGCTGGATTATATGCAGATTGTGGCAACAAGATCAAAGGAAGACTCATTAACCAGTGATATGCAGATGACACAGCTTTGCTTCCTGAAAGCTAAGAGGACTTGAAGCACTTACTGAGGAAGATCAAAGACTATATAGCCTTCAGTATGAAGCACACCTCAACATAAAGAAAACAAAAATCTTCACTACTGGACCAACACGCAACAGCATATAAATGGAGAAAATACTAAAATTGTAAAGTACTTCATTTTACTTGGATCCATAATCAATGTCCTCGAGAGAGCAAACGAACAACCATGAATAAATACAGGTTTGACAGAGGAGATTTCTACGTATATCTGCAAATATATCCATGAATATAGTATACAAGAGATAAAGTTATGAAAACTTCTTACCTATAACCAAACACTGTGAGACAATGAATTACTGACCTAGGGCTCAGGCCCATAGTCTCGGGGAGAGTTAACGCAATTGATACAACATAGTACACAAGGACAATGCTCTATATCGTACTTTGTTGAGTAACAACTGTGGTTTAAAAGCTTGTGAGTGGCCAGGTAATGTGTAACTAGTGGTCTCTCTCCATCTGGAGCAAAGAAGAACGAAGAAAATCAAAGACATGGAAACAATTACTCCAAGGACTATTGGAACACATGAATCCCAGCCTCCACAACCCTGAGGCCAAAAGAACTGGACAGTGCCTGACTATCACAGCCAACTGCTCTGAAATGGATCACAACAGGAGGTCCTGGATAGAGTGGGGGAAAACAATGTGGAACACAATTCAAAATCATAAAAAAGACCAGGCTTACTGATCTGAAAGAGACTAGAAACCCCCAAGACTATGGCCCTTAGCTACTCTTCAAGTCTAGAACTGAACTCACCTCCATGGCTCAACTTATAGCCAAAAAACAGTCTTATAAAATGAACATTAACATCAGGGAAGTATGCACACCTTAGAACAAATATCCATATGAGATCAAAAGGAAAGCATTTGCCCAGGGATAAAGCTCAGAAGGCAGGAAGGGATAGGAGAGAAGGACAAATGGAAAAGGTAAACAAAGGGAGGAAGTGGGAAGAGTGCTTTACATTGTGAGGATTGCAGTCAATGTTACTGGAAAAAAAACAGGTGTATGAATTGTTGAATGGAAAACCAATTTGCTCTATACACTTTCATCCAAATCACAATAAAAAGTTAAAAGAAAAAAATAGTAACAGATGAAGTATTGCACTGGGCAAGTCAGCTACAAAAGACCTCTTTAAAGTGTTAAAAATTATAGAAAAGGTGCAACAAAAGAAGCCTTCATTTTCCAGAGGAAAGGAAATAATAAAGATTAGAGTAGAAATACAAGAAACAGAAAAACAACAGAGAAAATCAACAAGACTAGAAGCTAGTTCTTTGAAAAGATTAACAAAATAGACAGACCAATGGCAAACTTAACTAAGGAAAAGAGAGAGAAGATGCAAATAACAAATAGCAAACGAAATGGGCAACATCACAACAGATGCAACCAAAATAAAAAGAATAACAGAATACTGTACTCCCAACAAATTTGAAAACCTGTAAGAAATGGACAAATTCCAAGAAAAATAAGACCTACCTAAAATAGCACAGACTGGGGTAGAAAATCTAAATATACCCTGACAAAAGAAGACACTGAGAAGGTTATTAAAAAAAAAAAAAAAAAAAACTCCCCATATAAAAAAATTTCTGGCCCAGATGGCTTCACTGGAGAATGGTATCAAACATTAAGAGAAGAGGTGACACCTATCCTACTCAAGCTGCTCAGAACATAATAAAGGATGGCATACTCCCAAATTCAATCAATGAAGCAAGCATAACCTTGATACCAAAACCAGGCAAATATATGACTAAAAAGGAAAACTATGGACCAATACCCGTCATAAAAATAGATACAAAAATCTTCAATAAAATCCTTGCCAACAGAATCCAACACACTACATCATAAAATACACCATGACTGAGTGGGATTCATACCAGCTATGAAAAGATGGTTCAATGTCAAAAAAACAATCAATGTAACATAAATAAAAAAAAGGAAAAGAACCATATGGTCAAGTTAATCAATGCAGAAAAAGCATTTGATAAAACCTAGCACA